GAGATGTTCTCCAGAACCAGGGACTGGTTGCACGTCATCCGGAACCCGCCCTTCTCCTCACAGGGTCTCATATGGGAACCTGATTAAGAAACCTTGGATCTTTATGAGGGTTCCGTATATGAACCCTAACATTTTGGGTTATAGGACCCGGGTTTCTTTATCAGGTTCCTACATTACCGGGGCATAGTGTTCAAGGGATAACTGAGATTTACCGGATACGCCATACCAAGGCCGACCCCATGCCCTAAGCCAAGCTTATGTGCAGCTTTGGGCCGAGAGTTTAAGTTTTCGGGACTCTAAACCCTAAACCTGGTTCCTTGTTGGGGCGGTATTCAAAATGATCACTTTCAATCCTTATTAGGGTTTGAGCACAGTATAACTTTAATAAGAAGTATCCAACAAGGACCCAGAAACCCTAACTACAAAAAAGAAGAGCACTCAGTGTCTCTCCTTGCCCGAGAGCTCTTCGGCAATCTTGCGGATGCACACGCGAGTGCTCTCCTTGACTCGCCCAATGGGCACCTTAGATCCCCAGTGCCCAGGCCAGAAAAGTCCCCAAGTTTCAGCTCCCCAGTTTGAGACTTTCAGGCTTTATGGAACGAGTGTTGCAAGGCACTACACCCCAAAATGACAACCCTACAAACTTCTTGAATCCTGAACCCCAAACCCTAAAACCCGAAAGCCCTAAACCCTAAAACCCTAAACCCTAAACTCCGAAAGCCCTAAGAACCTTTACTAAACTCAGCTCCGAAGGGACGAGGAGGCCACAGCTCCAGGTGCCATCGCTGGCTTTCACCCAGCCGTGCAGGTCACCACGGTGCTCCAGCCTTAGGCTTAGGGTTTACAGGGTTTAGAGGGTTTAGGGGCGCTCTTTTCAAGCTTTGGCTTTTTAGGGGCTTCGACTCTCACTATCGCACCAGGCAGGCAAGGCTCCACACAATTCCGTCACGCCAGAGAAGCCCAAGCATAGAAGATGCAACCCAGAACCATCTAAACCATACAACACCCAACACTGCCCATCGCTCGTGGCTTCTCGACAGTAGAGGCATTGTTCTACTCTCATCCACATACACTACTTAGTAACAGATGCAGGACATACGGATTGGGGGTTTAGGGTTTAGGGTTTTAGGGCTCTTTTCAAGCTTGAGGGTTTTAAGGGTTCAGGGCTTGGGATTTAGGAGTTTAGGGTTCAGGGTTTAGGGCTTCGGGGTTTCGAAGTTCGGGGGTTTAGGAGTTTAGATTAGCCTTGTTGCTCCCTCAGGGAGCAACAGAAGAGATGTGGAGCCTGGTTTCTGAACAACACTCCCGCTCAAACAGACTAGAAACACACCAAACCACGCAACATACTGAAAAAACAGAAACGCTGGCCCCACAGCCTCCTCTCCCGTTTAACAGGCACCCCTGAATAGCGCAAAGCCTGTAATTGTCCTATGATCAGTACTCTCTCACGGTTGGCCTTAGTTTTCCTCACGGGGCCTAAAGATAAGGACACCCGAAACATAAACATCGTTGACCTTCCCAAAACCAGCAAGGCACTAAGCCCTTACGGCACCCTATACTCCTTCTCTACACCAAAGATTCACCCTTTACGGACCTCCTTTCTGAAAAAAAACAAGTACCCTCAAACGCAAGAAGTAGCTCAAAAAGGCATTCCCAACCAACCCTAAGCCCTAAGCCCTTTTTACCCTAAACCCTAAACCCTCTTTACCCTAAACCCTCATCCAGCCCTCATCCCTAAACCCTAAACCCCTTGTTCCCACCGGGCTCAAGCCGCAGCCATCCCCCGGCCTCTCTGATGCTGAGAGTCGGCTCTCAGCAACCCCTCACGCTACCCATAGGCTCCAGTAGGTGGCTCTTTTTTTTGTTGGAGGCTTATATTTAGGATCCTATAAGGTAATCCCAAAAAGGAACGACTGTGCAGCCTATGGGTAAACCCCCTGGACCCTAAACCCCTAAACCCTAAACCCCTAAATCCTCTAAACCCCTAAACCCTAAACCCCTCAAACCCTGAACCCTAAATCCCCGCCCTCAAGCGAAGCTCAGGTTCCGGCTTGTAAGGCTTGGCAGTTTCAAGCTTGAAGCCAAGGCGATCCTCGACCTGCTCCTTGAACCACTCTGGGCCATAGTCCTGCAGTGGACTTTCTGAGGCGTTGTATTTTTTGGGTTTTCTTCCCTCCCACCTAGCTTGGACGAGCCCGCATTGCAGGGTATGTATAGGGGTTTAGGGTTTAGGGTTTGGGGGTTTTAGGGTTTAGGGAGGGCTCTTTCTATGAGAGTTTACTCTAGGTCCATAGCCTTTCGAGGATCGGCTTTCTAGGGCCTACAACTGAGGTTGTGTATGTAGAGTTCTCAAAGTTAGCAGCCAGGAAGTAGGTCCTCCACAGTGTACTTGACTCGCGCATGCTTTCGGCCGGTACGATCTCCGAAGTCACGGGCGACGGTGAGGATGCACTCGCAGACGTACTTCGCATCCCCCGGCTTGCAGAAGCCGATAACGTCCGCAAGGCGAGGATGAGTCTTCTGGTTGTTATGCGTGAATCCAAGGCCACCACCAACTGCCACGTTGAAGCCGAGCAGCTTGCCGTTCTGAATGATGGCGATGAAGCCTGCGCAGTGGGCGAAGAGGTCCACGTCGTTGCTGGGAGGGATGGCCACCGCGACCTTGAACTTTCGCGGCAAGTAGGTGAGTCCATACAAAGGCTCCTCCTCCACCGGCAAGGAACCTTGTTGCCCCAGTTAACCGAACAGCAAAACCGAAGCCCTTTCTTTTGACAAAAACTGAGTCTGGAAGCCCCAAAAACCGAAAAGGGACTTGAAACCCGAAACCTTCAAAGGCCCTCAACCCCTACTGGAAAGACCAGGGGCCCATAATCTGAATCTTCTCCGCCATCTCCGGTCCCTGCATGAGGAAGATCTCATGATAGGCGCCGGATCGGGGCAAGCAGTGGTCGTGGATCTCGTAGGTATAGTGCAAGATCTCTGCCTGGGTCGCTCTACCCAGAGAGCCCAGTATTCCTTAATTAAGGAATAGACCTTAAATCATAATCTTAAGGCCCCTATAATGCAAGGTACATTCCTTAAGGGACCCAAAGTCATGTTTGAATAGGGTTTACAGGCGGGTTTGGACTCTCGCCACTCTGGCAATGCAGGCGAGGTTGGTCCAGGCGGGTTTAGGGTTTAAGGAGACTCTTCAAGACTGTAGCTCACTGAGAACTTCTAACTAAAGAGTTCTGCAAAAGCCTAAATCTGCAAGGGAATTGTACCTAAACCTACCCTCCAAAGTGCTACCTATTTGCATTTCATCCTATACCACCTGACAGCTCAACAATACCTATGAACACCCCGACAGTGCTAATTTGTTTAGGCCCCTTTATACGGAACCCTTTCCTTTAAAGGAACACACAATAAAGGTATCCCAGCTTGCCGCCCAAATGCATGGAGCTCCTTAGAGCAGACGTCTGGCCGGGAGGTGCAGAGCACGTTTCGGCAAACATCGCCGCAGGCAGCCAAGGTGTCCATGCAGGCCTTGTTCATGGCCTGAGTTGCAGGTTTTACGGGCCGCTACAGTACAAATAGTAAGTAAGCATTCATAAATATGCGTGTATGTCTGTATGTATATATATATATACATATACACATATACATATACATGTACATTTACATATACATATACATATACATACACATACATACATACATACATACATACATCCATGCATACATACATACATACATACATACCTACATACATACACTCACTATACAGGAACTCATGCACGCCCACGCATGTAACGAATGACGTGTTGGGTTGTAGTCGTAAGGGCTCCCGATTACATAGCATGAACAAACGTAGACAAATAGTGCATCAGGGAGAAGAAGATTATCCGAACATACGTGCGCAGCAAACAAATACGTCTGTACAGGTCATCGGGGAAAGAGATCCAAAACCGCCACCTAGTGGCACGCATCGTGGCCTTCACGTTGCGCTTCAAGACCCCGTGCACCTGCCACGTCTGCCGGGTGGTGATCTTCAAAGTGCCATTGGCGAAGTTTTGGCAAATGTCATCCATGGCAATCCACTGCTCGGCAGTGCAGAAGCCACCTGGAAGGCGGATGCGGATCATGAAGGAGAATGCATTCTCGACACCCATCTTCTGACGCTCTTCGCGAAGATCACGGTCATCCTGCTGGTAGCTTCCATGAGACTTGATCAGCTTGGTGTCCTGGAACGGGATCTGGCCCGTAGTGACATCGTCCAAACTCTCCTTCATGCTACCACGCAGCTGCTTGGTCTCAACCTTGATCTGCTCATCTGTCTTCACTGGGCCATCATCGCCGCCACCGGCGGCATCGGCCTTGTCAACACCGAGTCGGGAGAACAGCTGGCCCTTCCACTCGGCGAAGCCAGTGTGGTACTGGTCTGTGTCCTCTTCACAAACCATCGAGTAGATATGCCGGGGACTACTATGGGGATGGATAGTGGGAAATGTAGCCTGCACCCGAAACCATAACCTTTTATGCTTATACTGATACTGGTCTGTGACTGTGGACGGTCTGTGTCCTGGTCATCACCGAAGCCTGTGGGCATCATGCGCTGCGCTCCCATCTTCTCGAGAAGATCGTCCAAGTCACGTGCCGGCTTGGCCTCAGTGATCTGTCCGAAATAAACTGCATTAGGGCCTTCTGGTTGACCGTAAAATCCTGTGGGACCTTGGAAACAGAGCACCTTCAGCCAAACCAGCCTACACCCTCAACCCCAGACCCCTCTATAGCCCTAAATTGCAAAAACCGAGCTCCAAACCCTTATCCTCTTGATTCCCTTTTTACATCGCCGACCCCTTTAAGAAGTTCCTGTCTTAAGGGTTCTATAAGGGTTCCCTTGGATCATTGAGGGCTGGGCAAAGTTGAACTTGGACTCCTCGGTGCCCTTGCCCCAGTAGTGCGAATCACCGAGGCCGAAGATGCAATACCTGGGGTAGGGTTTAGGGATCGTCTATATCTTGGCTGATTCTAGCATGGTATATTTCGATATCGTACTGCAGTATGGTGTAGCATAGTATAGCATAGTGTAGTATAGTATCTTGCCGTATGGTATAGCATGCTTGGGGGTATGTTAGAATCTTGTATTATGCTGTTATGTTATGTTATGTTGTAGACAGTCTATATGTGGGACTCTTGTAGGACCTGTAGGGTTTAGGGTTACTCAAACTAAACCCTACACCCCTAAACCCTATAACCCTAAACCCGGTGTTGGGTTTCGGGGTTTAGGCCTCCGGGGTTTAGGGATACCTGGTTACCAAGAAAGCCCAAGAGCTCTTGTTTAGGGCTTGACAGGGCTTTCTTCAAGGGTTTAGGGCCAGTTTAGGGGCTTTTGGCGGTGTTGAGACCTTCCGGGGAGTTACACTCTACCTGCTTTAGAAGGAAGTGTGAATCTACTAGCGGCTCACAGGGTCTTTGAGTCCTGAGAGTTTTGATATAAAGGTCTTTGTGAAACAGGTTTCTGCGTTGGTCTGGTCTCTACCCTAAACCCTAACACCCAAAAGACTAAACCCTACACCCGTTATGGATCCCTTAAAGGAACCCTAAACCCTAAACTTTACACCGGCTCATGAAGTATGCCCCAACAACCCTCAACAATCGACGATACCTGAAACTACACAGGAATATGATTGGAGGTGACCTACTGAAAACAAGGTGTATATCTATAGGCGATATATGGGTTGTATAAACTTTAAGGGCTCCCCCCAAAGTATTGATGAATAGCTACCTCTATCGACCAGGCGGGAAATTGTTGAAACAATTCCCCAAACCCGAAACCCCGAACCCTTTTTATGCTGCAGGGGCTGCAGCGCACATTGCCCTGATCCCTAAACCCTGAACCCCTAGCCCTGACAAAACCAAACCCTAAACCCCCAAACCCCCAAACCCCTGAACCCCAAAAAACCTAAAACCCAACCCTAAACCCAAACACCTAAACCCCTTATGGATCCCTTAAAAGAGCCCTGAAAGACACCCCCAGAAGTCCCCTAAACCCCTATAAACCTTTATAGATCCCTTAAAACGGAACCCTCGTCTAAACCCCTAAAAACCCCTAAACCTTCAAAGCGCCTTCCCTAAACCCCCAAACTTAACCCCTAAACCCCTTATGGATCCCAAAAAGGAACCCTTAAAGGAACCCCTAAAGTCCCCTAAACCCCTATAAACCCTTATAGATCCCTGAAAACTAAGGAACCCTTACAAGAACCCTAGTCTAAACCCCTGAGAACCCAAACCCTTATAGATGGAACCCTTGCAGGAACCCTATAGTCTAAACCCCTAAGAACCCCTAACAGCCTTCTCCCAAAGTGCCCACTACCCCCTTAATTAAGGAATATAATTTAAATCATAATATTAAGGCCCGTCTAATTTGAGGTATTGGGCTCTCTGGGTTCCCAAAGTGCCGCTTCGGCACTTCAGATCGCTGAGCGACAGGTCGCTTCGCTCCTGTAGCTTGCCGAACCTGAGAGGGCTTTTTTTGGGCTGTTTATTTTTTTTTCAAGGGTTCTTCAAGGCTCTTTAAATCTTTTTTAGAGGGTCGTTTTGGGCTTGTGTAGGTTTTTTTGGTGAAGGGTTTTTTTAAGGCTCTTTAAAGTGTATTTTAGGGTTTCTTAGGGTTTTTTTGAACCTGAGAGGGCTTGTTTAGGGTTTCTTAGGGTTTGTTTAGGGTTTGTTAGGGGTTTTTACAGTTATTTTAGGGTTTTTTAGGGGTTTTAAGATTGACTTGATGAGTTAACCTGAAGCCTGCTGAAACTAAATGTCTATGGGACGTCTCCAAGCACGTCGACTATCCAACCCGCCCCCTTCAAGAGACTGCAAACCCTAAACCCTAAACCCCCAAACTCTAAACCCCCAAGCCCTCAACCCCCAAACCCTAAACCCTTTGAAAGTTCACGCTTAAGTGCTCTTTGGGACTCCTACCTTGGGTCTGAGGCTCAGTAATCAAGCAAAAAAGTATGATTTTGTGATTCGAAGATGTTAGACTCTTAGAATCAGAAGTACCCTGCTTTGGGTTATCTTGCCAAAAAACAGATGTTAGACTCTTAGAATCAGAAGTGCCCTGCTTTGGGTTATCTTGCCGAAAAAAGCCCAAAACCCCAAACCCCAAAGCCCTAAACCAGCCAAAGAGCATGTTCCGGCCGTTTCCGCAGAACTCGCCTTTCCCGGCAGTGGCCACGCAGAAGACGACCAAGGGCTCCGAAGCAAGTGCGGCCTCAGCGTTCTTTTTCTATCTTTTTCTGTTTAGGGTTTAGGGTTTAGGGAAATTATCTTTTCAAGGATGAGCAAAGCCTCAAGTACAGGATTTTGAGGTCTTACGCTTGCTCTTGCATACCTCTTCTGGGACGCAGAGGACGAGCGCACTGAGAGCGCGGCCACATCAAAGGAGTCCATGGTCCCACAGCGCACGGCGCTGCTGGCGAAGCCACCGTTGCGGCACTGACGAGCCACGGCTTTGGCGCACTCTTCTGCGTGGCCGGTGTCGGAGGAGTAGAGGATGGTAACCTTACTTCCCAGTCAGAGAGCCCAATACCCCTTAATTCAGGAATATACCTTAAACCGTAATTTTCAGGCCCCTATTGTAATTTAAGGTATATTTCCTTAATTAAGGGGTATTGGGCTCTCTGGGTTCTGCGCAGACCCCAAGGTACGAAAAGTACAAGTGCTTATACGAGCCCGATATGTAGGGTCAGAAGTTGAAACACAAAAAAGGCCGAGCTAAACGATAGGAACGCAGAAGTCTACAGGTCCCCAGAGAGCCCAATACCCCTTAATTAATTACGGAGTTTTACCTTCAATTAATAGGGGCCTTAATATTATGGTTTACGGTATATTCCTTAATTAAGGGGTATTTGGCTTTTTTTGGGTCGTGCTTTTTGGAACTCAGTAACGGTCTTTGAGGCAGCAGCCAACCCCTCGCTGAGGGCGGCAGCATCCCCACCGTCGGCGGCCGTAGCGGAAGGCAAGGACTTCTTGGCGATCAGCGTCAGCAAACCTGGGGGTTCTTCAAAAAAATTATGCAGCAAAATTCACCATAACCAAGAACGAGCTCTCCATCTAAAACATCCGGAACCCTCAATGCTAAACCCTATACCACCTAATCCCTAAATTCTATACCCCTATCCATGCTACGTTTTTTTGGAACCCAGACTCAAATCCTGCATCCATGGTATCAACCCTAAACCCTAAAACACCCAATATGTCTCTATTTATGGTACCTTTAAAGCAGTACTTCAATGCCCTAGATCCCATGGTACCTCAAAAGGTGGTTTCCGAAGATATGGGACCCTCATATAGCACCCTAAATAGTAGGATCCTTATTATAAGGACCCCAAATTAAGGTGCCCCTTATTTTCGGAAAGTCCCTAATACAAGGCTTTACTTGAAACAAAATTGCGGGGAGCTCTCTCTCGAAAGGAAGCCCTGGATCTCCTGACGCACGCGCACGCTGTCCTGACGTCTCCCAGGTGTAAAACGAGCGAAGCTAAAGGTACACCTCATGGAGGATATGTGGGGACTTAAAGGTAAATCTCAAATAGTGGATTCTAGAGGTCTTATGTATGGGAATGAACATCGAACAAAAAACCACAGTACCCCAAAAAGGTTAAAGGCTGCCGACTGATACTAGCAAGAGTCTGTGGAGAAGGCAGGCAAGCCTTTGTCTTCCTTGCGAGGGTCGTAGGTGAAGGATGTCCAGTTCTCATCACCCTTGATGGTCTCCTGGGTTCTGAAAATCTAAAAGTAAAGCCAAGATTAATTAACTGCCATCAATGGTCTTACAATAAGGATCCCTATGATAATCCCTTGTAAAGTAGGGAGGTTTGTTAACCAGGGGCGTCCAGTAATCTAGGAAACTTGTTCATCACGGTTCCTAGAAGAAGAAGAAGCCAGATCCCCAAAAAGGAAAAGTTAACAAATCGACGATTTCAGCACCCAGTCTCCGCTGGAGCGACCAGCACAAAGGCGGGGCCCTCCATGTAGCCGGCAGCCTCCTTGAGGAGGCTTCCTGAGCTCTCCAAGTCTCCGGCAGCCACATAGACACCGCCATACCTTAGGTTTAGGGTTTAAGGTTTGGGATTAGGGGCTAGGTTTTAGGGTAGGGTTCGACTCTCACGACTCAAGGCAAGGATCCACACTCAAGTCAGCATCAAGCTGACCTAAAGCGCAAGGACTCATGGACACAGCAGCTGATGCAAATGTCTGTGGGTTCTTTTGACACTCACACTCGGAGAAAGCCAGGCAAAGTCTGCAGACAGTTCTTTGCGCATAAGCGGTTTAGGTTTTAGATTGCTCATTCTGTCGGAATTGTAGGAGCATCTGACCCTACACAACCCCCTGCCTTTTCTTTCACCGTGCTGAAGGCCGAGACCATGTGACCCCAGCAACCCCAAAGCCCGTAAATCCCGTACTGCGTTGTAAGTATCCTTATTTGGTCCGGAAGCGCAGGACGGAGCCGCAGGGTTGCTGGGAAATATGAAAACGACTGCAGGAGGGCTATGCAAGCCGAAGCCCTATACCCTAAGCATCAGCAAGATACTCCATGGCACGCAAGACCTCGAGCTGGGAGACAGGCTTCCTGGGTTGCGAGCTGCAGTAACCAAAGAAATCCAACTCTAGCTCGTTAAGTCCAATATGGAAACATACCGCAACAGCAACACAAAAAAGCTTCAACCCTAAACCCTAAACCCTAACCGATCAGCACCCAGCTTCTGCGTCGCCACCAAGAGCACCGCAAGATGCTTGGATCCTTGTTGGAGTGCCGTCTGCACCTCGGGCATCTATCTTAATTCTGAATTGCGCTATGGCTAAAGTCTCAGGGTAGTTAGGGTAGTATCGCCATGCTCAGAAGACTTAAATTGATGGTGGACTACTTGGACTTGAAGAGATACTTGGAAAAGAAGAACCCACCTCGGAGAGGGTCGACGATCCAAGCTGTAGAGCGGCCCAGCACTTACCCTCTTCTGATGAGTTCGCGGCACTCACGGCAGCGCTCAGCGAGGTGTGGACCTTGGTTCTTCCCAAGGAACCAAAACTAAGCTACCGCACCTAAACCCTAAATCAGCCTACTCGGAGGCCCTCTCAAACCGTTTAAACCTTAGTAAGCCCACAAACCCACCTGTAAGAACCCGTAGTAATTAGCCCTAAGCCCTAAACACGAATCCTTAGCCCAAAAACTCTTAACCCAAACCCTAAACCCTTCAACCCCCCCGGCCTTGGATGAAGGCAGACCTTTCAGGAGTGCTGTTGCTTTCTCCATGGCCATTTGCCCAAAACAAGACGCGACGGGACGGACCCAAACTCACAGAAAGTTAGCTTTTCGATCCTGGAGCCAAAATGGCTCGGGTTTGAATTTAAGTTTAGGTTTTTTGGGCTTTAGGATTTAGTGTTTTTTTCCCTCCCTTTAGGATTTAGTGTTTAGGGTTTAGGGTCGACTTTAGGAGGGTTGAGGGCTCGGGTTTCAGCCTAAGTTGAGGGTTTCGGGTCTAGGATTTCGGCTTTGGGGATTAGTAGTAGTACCAACCCTAGACCCCATGTCCTAAATAGTAATAATAATAAGCATTATTACTATGATTGCTACTATTATTGTTGTTATTATTACTATTATCTGAACCCTGAGCCCTGGGCTTGGCTGAGTCCGCAGGCCCTGCATCGTTCTGCATCTCTTCTCGTTGTTGCTGAGGGACTCTATCAGTTGAGCTTTGCCACCCTTCGCCGGCTCTTGCCGTGTATCCCTATATGGTAGATAGACGGAAATGAAGTAATTCCACGTAAACCCGACCTTTAGTTACAATAACTTTTGCCAAGTTCCAGGAGGCGACGGCCCAGTATAACTGTCGACACTCATCACTCACTTCAAACTTCAAACTCGGAAACCTGAATCTAAACCCTAAGCCCTAAGCAACAAACCCTGTAGAGATCCTCAGATTCAGCCCTGGGACTCCTCGTAAGCCGTACTAAGTAGAGGGCATAAGCCGTGGGCAACATAGGAAGGCACTTTGAATCCTGAACCCGAAACCCCTAAAAATGTTGACCTCATGCCCCGAAACCCTAAAAAAAGTGGAGCCTTCAGTGGGATTTGAATTCTGCGATCATCCTCACCCGGTCCACCAAGCTGTGGGAGTCTGAAATTTACTGTTCTTACCCTTACCTGGCCTCAATTAAACCCCTCCTGGTGCGAGCGTGAGAATCGAAAACGCATAAACTCCTGAATTCAACTGTCTGTGAGTGGGGGCAGTATCCAACCTAAACCCTAAGCCGACGCCGTCCTGGGGAATCACGTCAAAGGCGAGACTGACGGAACCATGGCGGTACCGGGACAGCAAGTGCTGCTGCATCTCTTCCTGGAGATGTTTTACTGGGAGGTTCATGGGTAGTTAGAAGTGTGGTTATAAGTGCCCTAGTATGGATTATAACTACAGTTACCTTACTTATAACCCCACAGATATAACTAATTACCCATGAACCTCCAAGTAGGTCCTAAAGTTTAGGCCTTGGGGTTTGGGCCTGGGGGTTAGGTCCCACGCTTTGGGGTTCAGGTTCTGTAACTCTTCCTGGAAGCCTTTTAGATCTTCCCCTCAAGAACGGTTCTACGTTTAGGGTTTAGGGGTTGGGGGTTTAGTCTTTTGTTAACATCGGTTTAAGGCTGTAAAGGGTGTTTTTTGACACTCCCACTCGGACAAAAGGGTTTTAGGGTTTTTGAGTTCAAGGCTCGAAGCTTAGGGAGCTTCAGGGATTCTAAATGATCATTTTTAGGCCTTATTGGGTTTTATTGCAACAAAACATGTAAGATTGTAGCCAACAAGGAACCAGGATTAATGACTGCAGTTCTGCAGTTGGGCGTCCAGGCTGGGTGTGACTGGACTCAAGTGTTCAGTTTTTCTTTTTCATGTGTTTTCGAGTACCGTTCAGAGTTCAGGCTGTGCTGTAAGCGACAGAGGAATCAAGCCCGTGATCCCACATTTTGTGTAAAGCGTGTCAGCATGGAAAGGGCATATACGGTTCTGTGCACCGAGGTTTTTGCCTCGGCTGCACCTTCTACATGCTTCTAACAGGATCCCAACCATGAAAGACGTGGGTCATCCACGTTATCCAAGAACACGTTCGATTGTATTCGGAGAAGCTATCAGGAGCATCGGCATCTTGGTGCCTTGTAGCGGAATCCCAAACCCATTTTGCAAGTCTTCACAGAGCAGCAGACACCGAAAACCCAAACCCGAAAGCTCCACACCCGAAGCCCCAAACTCACACACTGAGTCGGAGGCCAACTGCTTCTTGCTGTCTTCGCTCATGTTGAAGTCGCCACCTTACAGGAGCAGTGCTTCGGGCTAGGGTTGAGGAGTAGGGGGCATTCCATGGATATAGAGGTTTTCGCAACTCGGACAAGCCAGAGGAGGTCTCTCGGATCGACTATCACAAGAAGTTTCAGGGTTAGGGGCCTCGAATCTGAGTCATCTTCAAACCTGATTGCCGGTAAGTATCCACAAGCCGTCACAAACCAACCTGCTCACAAAAAAGCAAAATGGTAGGCGCCCTGCTCAAAGGCCCCTCTAAAAGCACTTAGCTATGGTGCCTTGCAAGCAATGACATGAAGCAGATATAAGTGTACTGGCGGAATCTGATCGACAATTTTTCCGAAACTAAACGGACCAAGGCCGACTCAATCAAGTTCATCCAGCCACCCGAAGCTTCAAGAAAGCACCACGAGCCCTCATCCCGAGTTCCAAGCTGATCATGTTTTAGGGTGTGTGACCCCAGTTCTTGAGCCGGAATCCGAAACCGCAAACCCTAAACCCTAAACCTTTAAACTTAAGACCCATGTCGCTCTCTCTCTCTCTCTCTCTCTCTCTCTCTCTCTCTCGCTCTTTTCCCCTCTCGCGGACTCAGAAGTCTCTATGAATACAAACATGATGCTCTAGCAGCCCTTAAGGCTTAGGAGAAGAGCACGCGCACACTAAGTTTAGGGCTTAGGGTTTAGGGTCTTAGGGTCTTAGGGTTTTAGGGTTTAGGGTTGTTCTTAAGGAGCTTCTTGTGGAAAACCTGTCAAGCCAAGGCCAAGCCACGACGGGAGCAGTCGGCTGGGAGCGTCTGTGCGCGCTTGGAGTTGCGGAGGTCGCCTCGGAGGAGGGTTTTTGGAGGATGTAAGGTTTTAAGCTTCTGTTGGGGCCTAGATTCAGTGTAAGGGTTTAGGGCCTAGTTGAAGATTCAGGGTTATCGGTTTTAGGGAATGAGCGCTGGGTGTAGGGCCAGTTTAAGTTTACGCTGTCACAGCTCGGAAACGCCAGATTAGGGCCAGGGGCTTCCGGGGCTAAGATTCAACCTCCGGAACCCCAAAACCAATTGTTGGAGGTTTCGGCAACACCTTCTTACATATCTTTGCGGTCGGTTTGTACAGTGCGATTGTCTTTATTGCAGGGTCGCGCCCCTGAAACTCTACGCAGGAATTCGGAGCTAGGCTCTGCTTAGACTCTGCTTGCCACCGAACTGAAGATCCTGTCTTCAAGGGTTCTGAACATGGGAAAGAGACAGGGTTTTTCATACCAGGCCTAAAACCCCTAAACCCTAATGGACCCTGAAAAAAGGGGAGACTGAGGGTTCGCTAGCTACGCTTTGCTGGAGTTGATGCGGAAGCCGCGGGTTGGTTCGGACCTGATGACCGGGTATCGATACTGCGGACTGCCGGCTTTGTTGGGAGGCTCCGTGGGTGCAGTTGAAAAATTCTATATACTCCCCAAGCCCCCCAAAATACTTTAGGTAGCAGGCCGGCCTCAAAGGCAGAGATCCCCTCGGTTCCTTTAGAGTTTGGCATCATAAGACAGGGATCCTCCGATTCGGGGTTTGGGTTTCCGTCGGGGCCATGGGTTTAGCTTAGCCCCAAAAAGGGTAACCTTTCAATCATGGTAGGACTATATTATAGAAGCCCCAAAAAGGTTAAAGGTTACCTACTCAGCTACTGAGTTAGGGTCTTCGGCTCAACATTGAACTTGAGCCAGGCGTCTGAAATCCGGATCGGCGGCCGTCCCTGCCGCGATGGTGAACCCACGATTGGCCTGCTCCAGGGCACTGAAACCCAAAGCCGCGTACCCCCGCAATAAATCAGGATTCTTAGAGCGATCGATCTAATTTCTAAGGACGAGGTCTAAACATCAGGGGCTTACATTCAGGGTTTGGCACGCAGCTTTTTCAAGATATCCTATAAGGGGCCCCAACAGTTCCAACAGATCTGAACTTTGTATGCTAAGGTTTAAGCTATCCACCTATACTTGCGCTGGGGCTTATGGGGGCGATGTTACAGGGTTCGGTGTGAGGGGTTCTAGGACTTGGAGTTTGTCTTCCTGCTTGCCAGATTCTCGCTTTGTGTAGAGCATGCGAGTTGTTTCAGGGCTTGCCTTCGGGCTTGGATGACGCTTTCGGGCACGGTGAGGCTCAGGGCTTATAGGCTTTTTAACCTTTATGAAGTGTAAGGTGTAGGGTCTCGACTTCTATGCCCATGTCTCCACGAGAGGATCTATGTCACTTGCTTCAGGCCCTTCTCTTAGGGAAATCTCTGAGAGCAAGACTCAGGCTCCAAGCAAGGTTTGGGATCTCTTTATATGTGGCCCACAACCCTTGACCTCACAGTCCTACAGAGAATGCCGCACACATTGGCACCGGGAAAAGCCTTACGCCCTTCGAGCATGCGCTTATCGACGTCCACCCCATCGCCTTGGATTCGCAAGTCTTGTTTGGCTTTGTTTGGTTGTGCTGAAGGTCACACAGGGCTGAAGGTCTCTGAGGACCTGAGTATCCATACCCATTTTCGGTTACGGTTACAGCCACTTCCAGATGCCTTGCTTATACTAGGACGAGGGCCGGCCGGGGCTGATGGACATTTCAGTCTCTGTATACTTGGAGGTCCATGGGTAGTTATAAATATGGTTATAAGTCCCCTAATATGGGTTATACCTATATTTACCTTACTTATAACCACACTTCTATCTACCCATGGAGCGAAAACCGAGTGACTGCGGTTACATGGAGCCTTAGGGCAATAGAAATCCCTAAACCCTAAACCCTTCATCCCAGCGGCATTTGGCCGCAGCATCGATGCCGTCGAAGACAAGCTTGCGGGTCTTTGACTCCTGGGACGTTTCAGAGTGTCCATGACTCAGCGCATAGATTTAGGGTCTATATATGGTTGTGGAGGGTTTCAGGGTTTGGATTTCGGATGTATATATATATATATATAGTATGTATATATATATACATAGATATACATACGTATGT